ATTTTCACTTTACCTTATGCTTTCCCTCATGTCCTCCTCCCCTAGCTGTCACTCTCACAGCTTTCTCACTCTCTCCTTTTCTATCTCTTTTTCTCCTCTGTGTTTTATGTTGCTCAAAGAGAGAGCACTGTCAGCATGGTAGAAGTTAATGCTGCACCATTACAGCTCTGCCACCTATTGGGGGAATCTTCCAGCCACTGACAGGGCAGTTTTATGTCTGCAGACTCCCTCTGTGTCTGAGAGAAGCTGCCCTCTGAATGACATTGCATACTCATTCTAAATGTATTATGATAATGAGCTACAGAAGAGCACATTGTAATTATTTTGACAACAGCAGGGGGAAGCATGTTATTAAGCTCATCCTGTTACCTCTCCTCCCCCTGTCTTTCTTTCTCCCCATATCTTGCTCCTCCTCTCTCTCTCTTTCTCTCTGAAAATTTCAGTTTGAAAAGGTTTAATCAATAAGAGCAAAATACAAACATATTGCTAAAAAAACACTGATAGCCCGCAACATGATGTAGCGTTTGTGTGTGAGAGCAAGAATGAACGTGTGTGTATGTGCACATTTAAGTGTAGAGTGATAGATGGTCGACAGGCTACATGGCAGCTCATTTCCTCCCGACTGGCAGAGAAAGATGTTACGGAGTTGCTACAGCAACTGCAGCCTGTCAGCTTGACAGACAAAAAGATCTCTCTCTGTCTTTCTTTTGTTCTCTCCTTCCCTTCTCAGGTAGGTGATGAAGTGCTGCCTTGAATCAGAGGATGACAGACTGATGGGAGATTTAAAAGGCTGCTGTACAGCCTAAAATTCCTACTTAAACTGACCCATGAATAATGCATTCATGTGCACTCGCACAGACACACACACAAACACACACAGAGAGAGAGAAAGCCTACACAAGCTCTTGTCTTAATCAAGCACAAACCACAATATACATTTGCAAATTTAAGTATGCCAATTATTTCTTCATCACAATCAGTGATTTCCTTTCTGATCAACATCAGTTTTTCCTTCCTGTGCAAAATAAGGCTGGTAATGGTTGCTGGCTTTATGCAGCCCATTTATTCAGAAGCTATTTGGAACGTATGCTTGTATGGTTGAAACATCACTTTTAATTTTCAGTTTTTGTTAAAGCATGTCATATATTTTATTAAGTAGATTATTTGGCTCACATTAGCATGCTATGATGCAAACAAACTGTTCATGCTTGGATTATATTTCTAGGGGCAGGTCTGGCTGCGAATGGTAGTGGTTCTACCCCTTATCGCTGCACAAAACACTTCTGGCACTTAGTAATTTGCTGCATGTGTGTGATATTTACATATGTGATGTGATGCAGAGAGTCTTACCTTAGGTCTAGTTGCAGGAAACTGACTCCTCCCCTCTTCCCCCACAAGGCCAGTGCCCTCTACTGGCCGGGTAGTATTTCATGTTCTTCATTAGAGCCTCTCTAAAAGACCAATTTGTCTTTTTAAGCTCTTTAAAATGAACATATCGCTAATTGCTATTCATCTTTCAGGCTTATCATGTTCTGATCATATATTTAAAATATTTTTATAACTTGTAATTCATGTCTCAATGGATGTACTTTTGGTAGCCTACTACAATTAGAGTAATTGTACATGTCCAAATTTATCTCTTTGGGTGTGATTCCCATAGACACAAAATTATTCTTAAAACGACTTCTGTTGGTGTTACCCAATGTCTTTAATATTAGGAATATCATATTTCTGACATGGAAAAAAAGTCCAATTTAAATTTTACCATTATTGAGTAGCTTAACCCCTTTAATGCCCATTTGTATTTTAGACCTAATTTTACTAAATTTGACTAAATTTTCATAGAAGAAAATTTCTCTACAGACTTCTGTTGTATTCAATGCAGTGAACACACTTACCATAAGCTTAAATACGCTGTTTGTTCCACTGAAATGCAGTAATAACAGGTCCATGTACGCTGCATAAACAGGTTATATAAGTGAATCTACCAAAACTTGCCCCACTTTCACACATCTGACCCTTTTAATTCATCTTTATGTAGCATCTTAGGCGGCGATAGGCCACAAAAGACCTAGTAAGCATAGCCTGCTGCCATTTCACATGCCCCGATATTAAAAGCATTTTAATTATTCGCTGACACTATGTAGCCCTAAAGAATATGCCCCTCAACCTCTAAAGGCCCGCAGTCATATCGCCACGGTCATGAACTGATTTCATATGAGCACGCAGAGACAATTAAACCTCATCTGCCGCTTTGCCTATCTGCTGCGCGGGGCTTCATTTAACGACCATTTGTCTCCATGATGGATTTCCTATTTTTACCGACAGCAACCGAGTCAAGGGACGCGTGAATTATAGATGTGGGGGCTCAGCAGCTCGCGGTGAAATACTGTCACGGTGAAGAAGAGAGAGAGGGCTCCTGCAAAAAAAAAGAAAGAAAGTGGACAGCGGCTGTTTTTCAGCTCACGTTTCTCTTGAGAAGGGCGTTTATCACCGGGGTCGCAGGAGGTGATGTATCGTCACGAGGGCGAGCGAAAGAATGGCAGCATAATTATGGCATTAAAAGAGAGGCTGGACACAAAGCGAGAGGACCGTAATTTAAATTGTTTTGTTTCCCTGGTGCTGGATTCTGCCCTTGAGTGACATACTGAAATTGGAAGCAGTTATTTATGTCTTCACACTAATTGGAGAATTTAATAAGGTCTCTGAAAGGCAGTCTCAATTTTCGGCTATTCAGTAATAGATTGTCTATCTCTTCTCTTCTCTCCCTTTTTTTCCTCATTTGTTCTTTTTTTGTGTGTATCTCTTGAGTGATGCCTGCCATCAGGAACCATCTGTGCAGCCCAGCCCACAATGAACGTCATTTCCTGCACTTGCCAAGGCTGTCATGCTTATTCTATTTAGCTTGATGTTAATCAAGAAATCTCTTTTAATGTATTCTAATTGGACTGGCTGTTCTGCATCATGTTTATGTGTGTGTCCAGTGTCCGTATCTCATCATGAATGAAAGAGGGGGTAAAACAAGGAGAGAGCAGAACAGATGGTCTCCCTCGCCTTTCCTCTCTAAGTCCCTCGGCCTCTCTCCCCCATTAGTCTCTCAGTCGGTTACGCACATTTGCTCTTCCTATGTCTGCATCCCTCTCTCACTCGTTCCCTCTTTCATTATCAAATAGGAAATACGATTACATTCTGCTGCCTTGCAGCTGCATCATGCACACTTTTAATAATATGTTTCTGTGCATGACTAACAGCCATTACAAGTCACTTTGTTACATCATTAACTAACCATGAGAATAATGTTTGTCACAATAAAAGCTGCTGTAAATATACTTGTATTTATTGGGTACTGTGTTATGCAGTGTGAGGGATTGCTCATGCCAAAGAGGAGCTGTAATAGAATCTATAACCTCTTTAATGAGCGTTGAATCTGAGTTGTACTTCAAGATAATGCTCATCAGTTTTTTTTTTAATTCAAGGAAAACGTAAAAGTAAACAAAGGTAAGCCAGTGCTATCATCAGGGGGGAAACTAGAAACACTGTCTTGAGACCAGTGATGAAAAGCAACCAATGAGTTCCCAACCTGAAGTACTTAAAAACATGTAAATTATTATGAATCTACTGTTATATATAATACTACATGTTTAATAGGGTACATAGTATAATATTGCATACTAATACTGCATATGCAATATTGCATTTAGAACATGCAATATTACAGTGAAATGTAAACTTAATAATTTACAAATACCCCCTAAACCTGTTTAAACATTTTACAGTCCTAGCAAGAAATCAGATCAAATTTGGTTGGATTTGACCACAGCTGCAAAGTATGCTGGGTAACCCATAGTGCTATTAATTAAAGAATATTGCAGATTCAAAACAAGTTATGCTCAATCAACAGCACAGTGCTGATTGCCATAAAATTAAAAATGTCCTTTTACTGAATTACAGTGTGCTACGTTGAATGAAAGTGAATGGGGCAAATCTGTAAACATTAAAACATAAAAGTATATAATTTTTAGTGTGAAAATTATAGTTATATCTAATTATTTAATTTTAAAACAACCATAAAAAAACAAGAACAACAGGTCAAATCATAGACAATTTTAAGTGCTTTTATAAAATTATAAGCTTCATGTTTCTACTTTAGTTCAATTATTTCCCTTTTAAATGCCTCATTGTATGCTTTGTGGTAGCATTCCATCAATTTGGTCTTATTTCTATGCATTTTCATGAAATGTGAGCGTAAGTTTAACTTCTCTAATGAATGTCTATTAACAAAATGAACTGGAAAATGTTTTATTACTTATATTAATTATATTACTTTTATTAAACTCACAACAATTTGTATCCTTGTCTGTATAAAGAAATAAGTAACTTGTAACTCTTACAATCTTGATTTTTGCTTTAAAAAATGCTGATTTTGTGGTAATATTATGCTACAAATGTATCATTCCTTGAATGATAATGCTAAATTATATATTTAATATAATATCAGTTGAAATCAAATGAACACATTTTAAGTTTGATAAAGGGATATCTGAGCTGTACTGATGGGTTGGGAAACACTGATATAGCCTACACATATTGGGCCGTGCTACACATATTGGGCCGTGGGGAGGGAGGCCCACCCATTTAAACCAGGCCTCTGAAATAACCACTAAATCCTTAAAAGTAAAGCGTTCGATTTCTCACAGACTCTCATTTTCTTTGCCTTTTTATTTTATGGGGGATTTTGGCCAAGCCACAGTGGGGTATATCCTACATGCCAGCACACTCCTGAACTCAGAGCTGTTGTCATAGCAACAGAAACCCCACCTGCTCAGTAGCTGTCAGCCCAAGGTTAAGAGCCAATAAACCAGAGAAACATAGCAATTACTGCACAATATAACACACATGCACACGCACACACAAAGTAATCCATCTGTTCCTTCTCCCCAGTTGATCAGTAGCAACTGGGTTTGGATTAAGTTCACCCATCAGGGTCCATTAAGGAGTGTTCATTTAGACGTGTTACGGCAGTTTAACCAATGAACACCAGGGAAGTCTTTATGGGAGGTTTGTGGCAATGGAGTGACCGCCATGTGCTATTTCAAAGCAAATGATTAACATGATAGGTAAGGGTAATCGCAATGGGGTTATGTTTTGATGTAACCTTAAAATATGAGACACAGATCATAATACAAACATAATTCAGAACTCTAGAATAAATGTATTTCAAAACACCACCAGCCTTAAACTGATTAAAGTCTTCACATTTGAAACAAACAAACAAACTATCCTCATAAAGTGAATCTTTAATCTAGTCAATAGGCCTCATGTAGTTTCTGATATTGGGTATAAAAGGGCAGATGTGGCTGATTTATCACAGTCTCTGTTTTACTTGATGGTTAGCTTACCAGCCAGCCAGTACAAATGGCCAATCCTTGTCATCTCAGATATCAAAATCAGATGTGGCAGTGATTGGTGAGCTGAATAGAGAGTATGAGCATGTGACTGTGCTGGAGGTGCGTTTTATTGCTGTGTGAGGGGAACGATTAGCTGGCGTTGCACAGCAAGAAGAATCCAATTCGTTCAGTTGTTTAATCCATCAGCCCGAGTTGAGTTCTGATCAACGTATTGATGGACCGCAAGGCAGTGACAGCCATTCAGTGGTATTACAAGACTCTGCTATTGGCCTCTGGAACATGGCACTCATTTAAGTGGTTTATTTTATAGAATAATAGAAAAATTAAGCGAAAAATGACGTGTCCTGTTTGAAGAGCAAGTTCATTCAGAGTGAAAGGATCCTTCTAACTCTATTGTAACCCATTTTTGCTGCTCTGATCTGGCTCCGTCTTTCCTACCGGCCATATATAGTCCTCCCTCTCCCTCTCTCTTTGTTTCTCTAAGCCTCCATTATCGGCTGTGGGGAGTCAGGTAATCAGTGCTGATTAATTCTCTTTATTGTTGGTCGTTTGTCTGCAGAGTCTGCACTGTCTTTTCCGCTCAGCCTCACTATGAAAGAGCCGGTGATAAATGACCATCTCTCCCATCACCCAACCCCACTATCACCACAGCAACCCCTGCTCTGCCTAAGTGCTTTTGATTAGTGACCCATGACTTGAAGGTAGAGGTGGCTTTTTGTTTTATTTCCTAATGCGACCAGTTTCAGCCCCCTATCATGCCCTTAAGGACTTATTTGGTGCTCAGACACTTTGCACACACTCCTATAATTGTTGCTCATAGATTGAACAGGGAGACGAGAGTGATAATTAGGTGTCTGCATGAGTAATTGAAGCATTTAACAAATGCTTGGTTTTTGCATTAATTTATGATTATGAACTTACATTTTGACATATATAATAAAAATATAAAAATACTGATATGAATCTAAAAATATATTTTATATTTTCTATATATTTTTTTATATTAATTATAAGTTGTAATAGTTAACCTAACATATATAAAAAATCATCATATGTTATTATATAGTGTTTGTAACCGTTTATGATTACACATTATGTTGAATGTTAATGTCTTGTCTGTCTATCTATCTTACATTTTTACAGTTATATTTTTTTGTATTGGTTTATGATTACATTGTATATTATAGACATGTATATATACATATACAGTATATATCATAAACAATCATTAACATAACGGGTTACGTGTTTAGTTGACATCACAGTGATGGTGATTGGCAGTGACAGAGATTGGTGAGGTTTTGTGAGTCTGGTGATCTGGATGACAATACTGAAAGTGTTTATCGGCTGCTGCTAGACGCTGATGAATCTGCACCTACGCAGATCGAACAAAACCCCCCAATCAGACCACCGGTTTCAACCAAACATTTTGGTCAAAAACTTCATCCCTCATTTATTGAGAACTTAATCTCTCTCTTAAACAACAATTAGATACTAAAAAATGCTGTGTTGTGAGAGGAGAGAGGAGGAGAGAGAACAAAAGAATCATTTAGCATGTGTGGCCAGGTTAAGTGCAACATCTACCTTTAATCTTTCAAACAAGTAGTCCAGAGGAAATGTAAACATGGTTGTATCCAGCTTTCATTTAATGTTCTGGCATGATTATAGATGCATAAAACATTTAACCAAATCCATCTAGTTTAAGCAATTTACATAATCTAAATAACACTGGGGTGTTATTATAGTGAGACAGAGGCACACACCTTTCACAGTCTGAGTCACAGCATGTTTTGCTGTCGTCTTCTTGATGCTGTTCCTCTACAGGGAAACGGGTATACCCGACACACCGCTGTATTGCCTGTGCAACCGTGTAATGAGTCTGTCCCTGTGCACACGCATCCATTTTTGCAATGCTCAGCGGTGACTGCAAGAACAGGTGCAGCAGACTGTCTGACAGCAGTAATGGTGTCTGTAGAACTCTATGAACACAAACATTTAAATAAAAAACTGGTGATAAGACTATTTAAACAATCCATTTAAAAACATTAAAGGGGTCATATGATGTTGCTAAAAAGAACATTATTTTGTGTATTTGGTGTAATGAAATGTGTTTATGCGGTTTAAGGTAAAAAAAACACACATTATTTTCCACATACTGTACATTATTGTTTCTCCTCTATGCCCCGCCTTTCTGAAACGCGTTGATTTTTACAAAGCTCATCGGTCTGAAAAGCGAGGTGTGCTGTGATTGGCCAGCTATCCAGTGCGTTGTTTTTGTACCTCAAGCGTGTGACGGAAATGTTACGCCCCTTACCCTACTGTGATGATGCCCTGTCAGGTCGGAGCGATGATTCAAAAACATGAAAACCCACTATAAACGAGGCATTTGTTGCATCCAGTGGGGACATAATTACAGATTATAATGACTTATACCGTCTTTTTACACGTTGCATTGCATAGACCAAACAAAGTAGTTTCGCTTTCACAACTAAACACACAGCGCCACACACGGCGGGCTTGAGTGAGCAGAGGCCAGCGGCTAGAGTGAAGAACGGCCGGCGGATTCGACGAAGGTGCGTCCGGTGGGCTTGCGGCAACCACATGTGACAACCCTGGGCTGGACTCCGCT